CTGTTTGGATACTTTATGAAGAATGTACTTTACTTTTGTTTTTGCTTTAAGTTTTTAAGTAATATATGAATAATTAAAAAATATAAATAAGTAACAAAAATAGTAATAAATAATGATAAATGAATAAATAATATTACAAATCATTCAAAAGCCCATTCTCATCTTTAAACATTTATATTATACGCCTTACCAGAGTGGCTCAGTTGGTTGAGCTCTGTCCTGTACACCAAAAGGTTGCTGGTTTGACACCCAGGCAGGGCACAAGACCACGTTCCAGGTTTGATCACCAGTCGAGGCACCTATGGAAGGCAGCCTATCAATGTTTCTCTCGCTCTCTCCCCCTCCCTTTCCCTCCCTCCCATCCTCTCTCTAAGCATGTCCTCGGGTGAGGATTAAAAAAATAAAAATTCATATAATACATATAGAGCAAAAGGCTTCCCTAAAATTCCTCTGCCACGCTGACTCCCCTCGCTAGAGGAAAACACTGATACTTTTCAGAATTGGATTCTTCCAGATGTTTTATATGCATTTAAATACAAATGTACATACAGAGGTAGATAGCTGTGTCTTGGGGAATCTATTTACATAAATGCCATCCTATTGTTCTTATTTTTATCACTCTTTTTTTAACCAAACATGTGTTGAAGATCTTCCCCCGTCGGGTACATCTAGAAGTATCGCGTTCCCCCCTATCAGCCGCATGACGTTTCAGAGCACGGTGTGGCACAGTTGATTTCATCGCTCCTCTATTGAAGGACATTTCCGTTGTTTCCCGTGTTTTTGCTATTACAAGCAGTGCTTTGATAAACACCTCCGTGCGCTTCTCTTTACGCTCGTGTGGTCGTGTTTTTTCTAGGATGGATAATGAGTCGCAGAATTGCTAGGTTGAAGGGCCTGTGCACTTTTAATTTTAAGAGATGCTACTGAATTACTTTTATAACCAGCAAAAGCCACTAACCATAAAGAACGAAACAAAACGGCCCTGAGTTCCCATCCCGGCCTCCCCAGCAGAACAGTGAGGAAATGGATGCTCAAGTGGTCAGCACTTGGGTGTTCGCTAAACCACGGGCTGGTGTGACGCGGACACCCCTCCCTCCCGTCGCCCTGCAGCTCGGCCTCACTGCTCCCCTGTCCTCCCTGCAGGTTCAGCCCTTACGAGTGGTACGATGCTCACCCCTGCAACCCTGGCTCCGAGGTGGTGGAAAACAACTTCACTCTGCTGAACAGCTTCTGGTTCGGAATGGGGTCCCTGATGCAGCAAGGTATGTGCCCCCTCCCCCGGGGGACCCCCACTTCCCAGGGGGCCTCTCCTCCCTGGGTGTGTGGGGGGGATGGGAGGGCTCCGCCTTTATGGAGTCAGCAGAGTCAGCCCACCCTCCAGGACAGCCTCCAACCTGCTGAGCCATCACGGGGTTGGCGACAGCTGGACACCCAGGTGTGTGCCCTTGCCCCAGGGCCCCACCCTTCACCACTGCTGTTTCTGGGCCAGCTCAGGCTCTAGGGTTAAAGCAGATAAGCTGCCCCCACCCATGTCATGCAGGGCTCATCCCCAGCTCCTCCTGCTCCAACTGAGGTGGACATAGAGCATCCTTCTTACGGAGGCTGACCCACCAGTGGTCTCACCACCATAGCATTGGGCTGAACCAAGTTGGGCTGAGGAAGGGGAGAGTGGAGACAGGGAGGCTGGCTGGGAGGCCATTGCAGGAAGGAGACGGTGAGATCTGAACTGGGGTAGTGGCCATGGGGCTAAAAGACAGAGAATGACTAAGAGGATGTCAGGATGCAGCAGGAACAGGACTCCATGGCTGCCTGGCTGTGGGGAGTCTGGGAGGAGGAAGGGCCATGTCTGAGGCTGGACTTTAGCCTGAGGTCATGAGAGGTGGGATACATGGAAGGACACTGGTCCTTCCATCCTCTCGAAGGAGGGCAGTGTACCTGGCCCTGGGCTGGTGGCCCACCCTTTGGAAACACGTGCAGCTGTTCCAGTATCTCAGAGAGCAGTGCGTCTGCTCCAGCTTCAAGGATGTGGGAAGAGACACCCTGGGCTGGAGGTGGCACCGGGAACTGGCCCCCCAGCCAGGAAACACCCTCAGGGAGAACATGTGCCCATTGCTTCTGCCTGTCAGTCCAGAGCCTCGTATCTCAGGAAATGGGGGAACCCAAACCTTTAGGGTCCCACTAAGGGACATCGGTGACAAGGGAGCATGGCTCAGAGGGAGGAGGACCCCAAGAAAATGTCCTTGTCCCTCACTCATCTGTGTGTATCCTCAAGGCCCAGCACAAATCCTGGTCCTCAGTAGACATCCACCAGCAAATGCTGAATGGATGGATGAATGAGTGAGTGAATGGTATTATCCCACTGGGTCCTGAGTGCCCACCAGCTGCCAAGCCCTGTGCTGGGCGCTTGAATGAAGAAGGATGAGGAAAGATAAATACTGCGCCTGCCCCCCCTCCCCGATGATGTCCCATCCATGACAGAGCCCAGGGTAGGGACTTGGGCCTGGGTAGGGGTCCAACAGAGCCTGGCAAAGCTCACCAAGCAAACAACTAAGTCATTCTCGCCTTGGGGGCAGCTCTAGTTCTTCAGGCTGGGGGAGGGCCAGGCAGGTGGGGCTGGGGGGACTGGCTGGTGAGGAAGCTGAGGAGCCTGGTGGGAAGTGACAGGCAGCTCTCAAGGGAAGTGCCTCAAGCTGTCCCCGCTATTAATGAGTGTCCTGAAGCCTCACCTTGCTTCTGCGTCCATCATCTTTGCACAGTGACAGTTGGGAAAGACCTGGAAACCCCTCAGTGCAGTAATAGCCTCTCTTCTTCGTCTCCTGCTGCTATTCAAAGCCCTGGCCCCTTGTGTATTCCCGCAAGGTTTTCATTAAGAGGGAGAAAAATCGTTGTGTATTTGAAAACCTCTCCCTTGAGTGATTTCTTTGATAAAAGAAAAAAAAATCATCCATATCAAAGCAGATGCTTTTCAGGTTGCAGGTCCAAATATTCTGCAAAGTTCAGGAGTCACTTGCTATTTAAATCTCTTGAAAGCCGCCCAGTTAATTACTTCAGTTAGAAGGTTTCGTCTAAATTGTGCTCCACACCCAAGGTCGGGGAGGAAGAGTTATCTATTTCTGCAAAGAGCTTCAAAAAATGTTGATTTTCTCTTCCTGCAAAGCCCCGCATAGCAATCTTGTATTTGTATACCAATTGTATTTCCAACACAATTTCTCCTCAAATTATATCATCGCAGCGTCGCGTTATTTGTGTGGGGCTGGGAAGAGGAGGGACGATTCCTCGTGCTTTGCAGAGTCCCGGAGAGGGGAGGTGTCTGGCACAAGATCATACGGAGAGTCGGGAGCAGAATTCACTCCAGAACCCAGGGGTCCTGACTCCTCCCAAGTGTTCAGAACCTGGGGCCATCCAGGGGTCCGTGGACATGCATCAGAGGGTCTGGCAGGCCTGTGAAATGCTGCGCATGTGCCTGTGGTTCTAGAGGAGCAGTTCTTAAATTTCAGTCTGATCGGAATCACCTGGAGGGCTCATCAAGCCCGGGTTATGGGGCGCCACCCCTGAGATTACTGGTTTAGTAAGTCCTGGTATGGGGCCTGAGATTGTGCATTGCTAATGAGTTCCCAGGTGATGCTGCTGCTGCTGGCCCAGGGCCCACAGTTTGAGAACACTCGTCCAGGGTAAGGGCCTCGGCTTTCATGAGATCGTCAGTGGAGCCCACGACCCAGAGGACCCGAGCAGCCCTGGTCTGGACATTGTCAGAGACCACCTGCCTCTTCCCTTCTCCCAGGGTCTGAACTGATGCCCAAAGCCCTGTCCACGCGCATCATCGGTGGCATCTGGTGGTTCTTCACGCTCATCATCATCTCCTCCTACACGGCCAACCTGGCCGCCTTTCTGACCGTGGAGCGCATGGAATCACCCATCGACTCTGCGGATGACCTGGCCAAGCAAACCAAAATCGAGTATGGGGCAGTCAAGGACGGGGCCACCATGACCTTCTTCAAGGTGAGGCCCTCTCCCTCCCACTGCAGCACCTCAAGCTGGCCCTTTACTGGCCTTCCCTACACATACAGAGCCAGGGCCAGAAATCCCCAGGGCTTAGTCCCTCCCTGTTGGGGATCATTAACTTCTGAGAGTTATGGTGAGGTGGCCACCTGGGTTGGTCCCAACATAGATCCTAGAGGTTTCTAGGCCTGGGACAAGCCGCGTGAGTGTGCATCATTTCCTTAAATCATCAGAGGGCAGGTGGGGAGACGAGGCTGGAGGAGGAAGTGAGGCCAGATGCAAAAACAGGCCCCAGGGCCAGTGGCATCCTTGCCCTTGACTTTGGGTCTCAGTGGCATCCATCCATCTCCACGAGGCTGGCCTGGGCTTGGGGTGAGCGCTTTACCACTTAGAGGGCAGCAGGGGGCACGTCCCCCTCTCTTCCTTGGAAGAGAGTGTTTACATACATTCCTTAGCGTGTTACACTCTACGAATCCTGTGTCCAGAAAAAGCCGCTGTCACCTGCTCAGGTTACTGCTCTTACAGGAATCTGGCCGTGACTTTGCTGCTCCGCCTGCTTTGTAAGGTGTTGGCTCAGTTCCCAATGTTTTGACACCTTCTGCTCGAGTAGCTGAGGGTTGACAGGCTGACCCTGAAAACCAGTAGCTGTAAATGTTATTCTGGAAATTAAAGTGATAATAACAACAGCTACCACCACCGAGAGCTCACAGTGAGCCAGGCGCTGTGCTAAATGGTTGCCTCATGTAACCTCCATGACAAATCCTCTGAGTAGGTACTACTTCCACTCTACACATGTGGAAACGGAGGCTCAGAGTAGTTCAGTGACTTGTCCAAGGACTCACAGCTGAAGAAGCCAGATGCTGACCCAGGTCTGCCTTCCTCCAAGGCCCATGGTTTGGGCCATGGTTCTCTGACTTGGGTGTGCATCTAAATCACCGGGAAGGCTGGGCACACCCAGGTTGCTGGGCCTCACTCTCAGAGTTTCTGGGTCAGTGGGCCTAGGGTGGGGCCAAGAATGTGCATTCCTAACAAGTTCCCGGGTGATGCTGCTGGTCCAGGGACCACACTCTGAGAACCACTGTCCCAACTATTTCTCAGAAATGGTCAGGATTCGGAACTCTGGGGCTATAGGTCCATTTGTTCATTCATTTATGTATTAGTCAACTGCTCTCGATCAGTCTGAAAGTCTGGGTTGTGTCCCTTTCCTCTGGGCCCTGGCTCCCAGCCCCAGCCCTTGCCTCCTTCCAGGCTAATCCTCTGAGTGAAGGATTGAGCCTCCAATGGGGCCCGAGTGGGAGAGAAGAAGGGGTTGGTGGGAAAGCCTTCTGCCTCCTGGGCTTCGGAGCCCCACTGTCCTTGAGGATGGAAGCACCTGCTTTGCGAAGAGAAAAGAGGGAAGAGGCAGGAAAGGGGCTCCTGTCTCAGATGTTGCTACTGCCGCTGTGAAGCAGCAGGCGTGGCCTTCCTAAGAGGTCACTACCATGTATTTAGAGTGAAGGAAAGAGAAAAGTGTGGTCATAGGCATGTTAGGAGTTCTCTGGGACCCTATGTTTGTTCATGAGTGTGAGCAGTATGTGAGTATGTGTTACATGAATGTGTACATATAGCAATATATGATACATGTATGTGTGCCCATGCACAGAGTCTGCCTGTGTGGGAGCAAGTGTGTTTGTGTGTGAACATGAGTATCTGCACATATGTGTGTGTACTGGTGAGCATATGTGTATATGTATCTCTCTAACCTGGGTGTGTGGATATGTGCTTATAAATGTCTACAAGTGGGTGCCAGGGTGTCTATATGTATATATGTGTGAAGAATATATGCATGTCCATCTTTTTAAATGTCCCCATGGGTGTGCCTAAATTAGTGTGAGTGGGGGGATGTGCCTATGTGTGTGTGATTGCTATGTGTTGTGTAATGGCCCATTCATGTGTGTGTAATAGCTTTTGTGTGCGTGTGATGGCTCCTGCATGCATGTGTGTCTACGTGTGTTTGTAATGATCCATGTATGAGTGTGCATGTATGTGTGTGTGCATGTGGTGTGCCTGCTCGTGCCTATCCTCAGGCGGTGGCCCAGCCCTTTGACTGAGCCAGAGCATCTCTCATGCATTACTCATGAGCGCGTCTCCAAGCAGGGCTCCCGATCAAAGGGAAGCAGCATAAATAAGGCCGGTGCAGGCTCATTGCCGCTGATTGGATGTCCTTGCCTCCCTCCATTCTAAGATGCTCAGATTGGCTTCCCAGAGCCTAGTCCCAGCTCCCCACTGAGCCGCTGTCCCCGGCATCAAGCAGTACCTCCTGCAGCCTGCTCTGTCCTCACCCACCTTCTCTGCAAATGGCACAGTGAGGAGGACAGGGGAGGGACTCAGATGCTGCCACCCAGCTGAGATGCTGGGGCTCAAGGGCCTGTCCTCATAAGGGCCTTCGGCCAGAAACAGCAACTCCATGTCCCCAAACAGGACCAGCTCTACTTCCTTACTCTCCTGATTCCCAATTAATTCCTCTTGAAGTCTGGCCTTCCTGTCTCCTGCTTTAATTCCAGTGACGCTCTCCTTGGCCCGGCTCCCTTTCGTTGGCAGCAGCAGTGGGACTGCTATGTAGGCGGAGAGGACCTCAGTGTGGCTACATGAGCCCCGCCCCACACCAGGAGCTGAAAGCACACAGCACCCTCCCCGAAGATCCCTGGACAAACTTACTTCTCCCTGCCCCTCTTCCCTCCATGGTCGTACCTCCCCCACCCCAGGCCAGGTTATGGCCTCATTGTCACTTCCATGTTAGAGCTGGAAGAAAACCCGAGTTTAACCTAGAGAAGCGGAGGGGCTGGGTGATTGGCCCACGATCACACAGCAGATTGGTGATGGAACTGGGACATAGGTCGGATATTCTGTCTGCACACGAAGTGCCCTCTGTCACACCCACTCTCGGGTCTTCTGGAGGGGTTGTCCCTCCCCTGCCCGTGAGTGTACATGGCCAGGTTGGCAGTGGGTTTGAACAGGGGTCAGTGCCGGGAGTACGCACAGGATGTCTAGGAGACATTGGCAAAGTCAACAAGAATGGTAACATTTATCGAGCACTTACTAGGTGCCAGGCAATGTTCCAAGCACGTTGCCTGTACAGCGGTCCCTCCTTATTCACAGGGGCACATTCCAAGACCCCCAGTGGATGTCTGAAAGCACAGATAGTCCGGAACCCTGTATGTACTCTGTGTTTTCCTAGACATGCAGATAATTTACAGCTTCTCTTTGGCATATCCAAATTGGTAGCATCACTACGCGCTTTGGAGCCATTATTAAGCAAAATAAGCGTTACTTAAACACAAGCACTGCGGCAGCGTGACAGTCGGTCTGATAACTGGGACGGCCACTGAGTGACTAACTGTGGAGCATATGCAGCGTGCGTGTGCTGGACAGAGGGACGAGTCGTGTTCTGCACAGGACGGAGCAGGAGCGCTCGAGATTTCATCACCCTACTCAGAACAATGTGCAATTTAAAACGCATGCATCGCTTATGTATGGAGGTTTCCATTTAATATTTTAGGACCATGGTTGACCGTGGGTAACCGAAACCGCGGATAAGGGAGGACTATTGTATTCGCTCATATCGTTCTCTCATCAGTGGTAGAAGTTCATAACTTATTATCAGCTCCATCTCACACATGATGAAAGTAGCCTCAGAAAGTAACCTGAGTTTACACTGACTTGCCCAGCATCAAGCTAGTGAAAGGCAGAGCTGGGATTTGAACCCAAGCCTGCTGGCTCTCATGCCTGTGCTCTTTGTCACTGTGTCCAGCACCTCCCTAAAGAGCCAGGCAGTCCAGGAGTCAGTTGGGCAAGAGTGAAGCCACAGTCATTTGAGCCAGATCCCCAGCCTAGAACAGTTGCTCAAATGATAAATGAGACTGTCTATCTGATAACCAAGTGTGTGTGTGTGTGTGTGTGTGTGTGTTCACGTTCCAGGAGTCAGTTGGGCAAGAGTGAAGCCACAGTCAGTTGAGCCAGATCCCCAGCCTAGAACAGTTGCTCAAATAATAAATGAGACTGTCTATCTGATAACCAAGTGTGTCTGTGTGTGTGTGTGTGTGTGTGTGTGTGTGTGTGTTCACGCGTGCCCTTGTTGAATTAAAGGATGGAATTAAAAGATGGCAGGAGCCGAGTGGGGCAAATGCAGGAGGCCTGTTGAGGACAGGAGCCAAGCAGGGGGCACCCCTGAGTGTCCCAGAGTCCAGAGCAGATGAACATCAATGCTGAGGTTAACCTGTGTTCCTGCTTAGGCTGCAAACCACCTTAAAAAGCCCCCGAACTGAGAGTAGAACTCAGTGAGGAGAATCCATTCCTGTCCAAAGACAATGGCAGGAAGTGGGGTGTTGGGCTCGCTCGGGGGAGCTCCCCTCCCCCACCCTGCAGCCCAGGAGACACATGGCTGGAGGCAGCCCCATCATTCCAAAGGAAACTTCATTTGAAGAGTTGTCAGGAGCAGCGGACATCACAAACGGCATCTCCTGTGTTGTCCTCCCTCCGTCTTGGAAGATGAAAATTAATTAGGAGATGAAACAGGAGGCCTTTGAAAGCACCGGTCGGCTGTAACACTATGTAGGCAAAATGTGAAGGAGAGCGTTGAGGAAGCGGGCTCTTTGTGGGAGGGCTGGGCAGCTGTGAAGGGAGAAGCTATCAGAAGACAGCTTCTCCCAAGAGTGAGCCCTCTTTGGTGTTGGGGGGGGGCGGGGGCACAACTGGATTTTTCAACCTGCCTTTCTAGGAGACAGCCTTCTGGCAAGAATTTTCAGAGTGAATGTCCTCTGTGCATACTCACATGATACTTGGTCATCTTTGGGAGGAGAGCCAAGATTATAAAAAGTTACTTGGGGGGGGGGGGGGGGGGGGGGGGCACAGCACATGTGGGTGGGAGAGCCACTTCAGAAAAGGATGGGAGCTGGGGGCCATGAGTTTCAGGCTCTCTGGGTCCCTGGCATTGCCAAGCCCTCCCCCTTGCACAGCTTTGC